AAATCAGTACCAGAGGAGAAGAAGTCGAATCGCCGGTGAAAACTATCCACCACACTAGTTTTCTCTTTCCCGGAACCTTCCACACACACCGATGCTCGCAAGTCGCAACGGATAGAAGAAGTATCGCAGCACAACAAAGTACCTTGAGAAGATGAAATTATATATAAATGTTAAGTCAACAACAGTCAACAACTCCGACGTAGTCTAGCTGGTTAGGATACTCGGCTCTCACCCCGAGAGACTCGGGTTCGAATCCCAGCTTCGGAGTTGGTTCTTTTAAATATCATTTTTAATCTTATAATTCTCCAGCTATGTTATTTGAACAAATGAATGGTAGTCATATAGTCTGAAAAATTGTATATTACCATAGGAGTAACTGTTATTATGAAACTTGATCTTAACACTAAACAAATGTACAAACTGTACAACATTTTTTCAGACATTTGTAGTTTTTGGTAACACCATATCCATAGTTTGCAGCTTGTTGACGTTAAATTTCCAGAGTATTGGTAGAAGATAGCCTCTCGAGCCAAAGCCCCTACAAAAAGACATTGATTCATCTTTCACATATACAATGAGAGTATGAGACAAGTGAAAAAGACACATGAATAAACCTTGCAACAAAAATGTCTACGGGAAAAACACTGAAAGAATTAGCAATGGCATACCTCGACGACGGTATAAACATCATGACTGGAACAAAGTTATAGTGGCTATATGACCATTCTTCATCACCTGCAAGCAAATATTAACCCATTTTAAAAGTTTCGTTTAACAATCTGCAAATATATATAACAAGCATCACAATTACTGAATTAGGGTTTATTGTTTTACCTCAAAAGCAACATTCTGGTAGCCATACACATATGTTGATCCAAATGGGTTGCTAGTTGAGCCTTGCGTCTGAATAGCTGCTGGTCCACATTCCCCGAGTATTTCCTAAGGTGGAAAAGACAGGTTTCTATGAGATGTGTTTTACTCATTTATTAACAATCACATACAAAGATTCAAATGATTCTGAAGTTTCTACACTCAATCATTCATCTCGTCAATGTTTCCTCACAAGTTTCATCCCAAAATAGGATCCCCCAACAATGGGATTGATTCGTCAAGAGATTTTGAATTAATAAAAACTTTCACGGGAAATTGGTCAGGCCTGACATAGACTAGGCTTCCTATCATTTTCATGTTATGCTTGTATCAATTTGGTCTGATATAAATTTACCTTAACCTGCTCCCAATTAGTGCTTGGATTGATCTTGTTTCCACCTCTGTTTACTTCTGCTGCCTCCTCTCCAACTGAAAAGCAACAAGAAAGGGTAGTTTTGTTGGAAAAATAAGACAACATATATCTGATAATGGACTGACATGAGCTGCTATCATTTGCATCGCTTACCAGATATCACAAAGTTGCACTTTATGTATGAGTTGAAATCAGCATGACCAGGATAGTTGGTGTGAAGAACAAACTTTTTCACTTTGTGAGTCTGCAGAAAAGGTCGAGTCATAAACAACAGAAACAAATGAAGGGAAGATATAACTCTATTTGACGAGTTACCTACCTCGCCGTCAAACAGGATGTCCAAACCACGAGTAAAATAGTTGTAAAAGTAATCACCACAGAGAGTTGTTTTCGGTCGTGGATCTGACGCAGAGTGAATAACCATTTGATCTACCTGGAAAGCAAAGGAAAATTCAGAAGCAGAAATGCAAATGTTCAAATGGGCACTGATCTATGACAGATAATGCAGGCAATATAGTATGAGCAGCTAATGTAAGCATCTGTTCACGATATAACAACAAACAAGTTTAGAGAGACGGGTATATGTCACCTGCTTTGGGTGGATCCCACATGGTCGTCCTAATTCAGTCCATACATCCTGCACGGAACATGAAATGATGAGTTCCGAAGAAGAAGCACAATAAGACAAGGTACAAACTTTACCTGTGGCGATGCACCAAAATGCATATGCTGGCCTCCAACAGTAAAGTATAGTTCCTTGCCAAGCTGCAAAAGTATTTACTGAAGTCATGCGAAGAGTAAGAGATATTAAAACTTAAAACACACAAGGAAAAGAAGTAATGTAGATAAGCCAAACCTTGACATGAACCTCTTCCATATACAGGCTGCCTGGAGGCAAAGGAGGGACAGAAGCTCTATCCATCAACTTTCCAACACCAACTTTCTTGTCACTTGAGTTGTCATATATAGAAACCCGGCATGTTACTGGTGTGGTGCCATCTGGAAACTCTAATGGTAGTGCCGCTTTGTAGAGGAGAAAATAAAATGTGAGAAGTTAGATATTGGACAAGACAAAAAAACATTAACTGTATTTCTCTAGAGTCGGAGATGAACATACCTTCTCCATCATGGCAGCAGTCCGTGTACTGGTTCGGAATTGGAAACTCGAAGGATAGACCCTGCCATAGGTAAAAATTGTAAAACATTGATAGAAAAAATTCAAACACTTCTGGAGAAACAGTATGACGATAATACTCTTTCTCTCTCACCGGGTAGAACAGAGAATAAATCCCTCTTTCTCTATCATAAATCCCAGGAAAGGTCGGTCCAAATAGTGCATAAACAGCCACAAACGTAGCCAGAGTTGATGGACCCCTGAAGTACAATCAAAAGACAGTCATTACAGCATGAAACTACACCAAACCCATAAATTTTAACTACTTGACTCACCCAATCATAGAAGTGGCGTAGCGCATCTGAAGTCGCTTGACATCATATATCTCAACAAGGCGTAACCTCTGCAAACAAAACAGGAAGAACGAGCAATAAACTAGAGTGTATCTTTAACAAACAAAAGAAGACTACACTGAATTGCGAAAAACTAAGTTTTATTCCAGTTAAACTAATCAACTAACGATATACACTGAATTGCAGGTAAAACATGGGGAATGTTGTTTTTCACTCTTGAGTAGTTGAAACCAAATTATAAAGCAGTGACGTTGATTTCAACATAAACATACAAGAACCACAACATCATCTAGAAAAGAAGTGTACCTGAGACCAAGGATCAAATCGAAGATGAAACCCATGATCCGGAAAGCTAATAACAACATCCAGCTTCAGAGGCTCCTGCGTAAGGCAACATAAATCAATGAAAATCCAACACAAGATTAAGATTGATGAAAAAGAAGTGGCAAACACAAGCAATGAATTAGTCTTTATAAGTACAAACCTCGTCGTAGTATTTAACATGAACAACATCATATATGTTAGGCTGCTGTTCTATTTGAGCAAATGCTTCACAAATCGGCATTCCTGAAACAACACCACAACTTCATCGTCGGTCAAACTGATCGGAAACTGAGCACTCTGCTGATAAACTAAAAAGACGATGATTAAGCAGTTTAAGCAGCTAATTATCGTATTTCCACCGGAAAATGTTATCACAGAATCCCCAAAACAACACGCAATCGCCGATCGCAAATCGATTCCGATCTTCCCAAGTCCAATCGACGCAAGAGAGACGATAATCTGATTCTCGAATGCCAAAACTAAAGAAACGAAGCAAAAATTTGGAGAGAATCGCATACCGATGGAGAAAGGTCCGATTCCGACGCCGGGACGGAGATCGAAGACGGTGGCTCCCATGGCGGTGCCTTCGCATCGTCGTCGTGTTCTCTGCATCACAGTTTTATCACCGATCTTTGAGTAATCCTTCATTTTTCTTGGATCGCTTTCTTGGACGAAGGAGAATATTTTTGTTTACTTCTTTGTCCAGAAAAAAAAAAGAAGAAGAAAGTATTTCCGAAGAAGTCCTGAATAAGTTAGTTCCTCTCGTGCATTTCTTTTTGAAAACTTTTGCTACATGGGTCCGGGTCGACCCGTCTGCAGATCACCATATCGATATAGTGGAATTACTAAAATACCCTAGCACCAATCAACGATTGACACATACACCCTAACAATATTGAATATTTTTTTACTACTCATTTAAGTAAATGTAATCGAAGTTTATTATTAGTAAAATGTTAAATCTTTTTTATATGTTGTGAAAAAAAAATAAGTTGTTTATATAGTTAAATATTTTTACTTGTTGTTAATAAAAAAAAATGTTATTTTTTTGTTAACAACAAACATTATATTTAGCTTTGAATTTGGACAGAATAATATCAAATCATTTAAAAAATTAATTATAATAAAATACGTAAAAAAATTGATAAAAACCAAAATAGGAATATGTGCAACTAAATGGTTATTGTTCAGTGGTGAAATTAGAGTGGTATAAGAATGATTCTGAGTGAAAGTTCAAAAATGGTTTTACAGTTTCACTATCTATAATGATCACTACATATTATTTTAGGAGATTACTGGTCCAGTTCCAATACAAATACCATAATTACTAATTTTTGTATCTTTTTATAATAAATCACAAGTGATTTTACAATTAACTGCAACTCTATTCATCTGACACGTGTGTTAAGTATATTTATGAATTTAGTTTCTTGCAATTTCTCTCTCAATTGTTCTTCTTATATTTCACTCTTTCTAGTTTCCACCACATTTTTTCCGTCAAAACGCTTCTCTTTCTCATATGTCACATAAAGATC